GTTATGTGCCAGGTATATCCAACAACCTGTAAATGCAACTCAACCTTGATTCCTGTTAAAACTCCAGAAAATATCTCTCTCTGTTTAACTCTTGAGGAACTGAGTACCATGGCTCCTAGAAGCAGGCCATTGGCCGCGAGTAAATATTGTGCTTTTTCTCTAGGGTATGATCTCTATTTTTATTGAGCAACTGTCAGTAGGCCATGCAGCACTGCCAACAACACACTGAAAATAGAATGGAGGCAATTACCTCAGCAAGGATTAACGCAGAAAGTGAAATTGCACTTATGTAATACTCATCTTTCAGCCACTGAGACCAGCCTTCAGTTGGCTTTCTCTGTATCCGCATGAGCATCGTAACAGAGCAACAGCATCCGTGCCCATGTTGGAGGAATATACCCTCTGTATCACTCCCTCTTCCTGTGTTCTCTAAAGCTTTCCTCAGAGCAGACATCAGAACACTGAACTGCTCCCACTGATGATCTCCCAGCAAAATGCGGCAAACAGATGAGAGATAATATTAGCTAACAACATATCAGCACTCTTCTGGTGTTTGGCAACTGCTTGTCAGTAAACTTCAGGAAAATGCTTGCGTTCTGAGAGAATGTCAGGCCTGAGTGAAACTTTAGATACATTCAAGCCAATTCTCTCATTTTACGGAAGAAAACACTGAAGCCTGCAGGGATCAGATGACTTCTCTGTGGTTTCCTTAGTCTCTTTTAAGTTTAGAAAAAGAACTAAGTTTAGAAAACCCTGCCTCCACTCCAGCAAGGGCATTTCCTCCACACCCTTGGCTGCTTACAATGAAATCAGGACCACAGGGAAAGCTTCTCTGTCAAATCCCTGAAACATCCCCAGTGGGTGGGGAGAACTTTAAAACAAAAGAAGAAAATAAACCCCATAATTAGAAACAGAACTGACTCCAGACCAGCTAACAGAAATATTACGCTGGCTTTCACAAGTGCTACAGAAGGAGGAAAGGAAAGCCTACATCAGCAACTTGAGGCTTACATGTGGGTCTGGTGGAATGCTGCCATTTTCATAAAACACAAATAAATAACAAAAATAGCTATGATTGGGGTGCAAAAGAAACAGGAACAAACAATTGCCGAGGAGGGCCACATTGGCATCAATTATTGATGTCACCCTGTTTTGTTTTGTTTTTGCCCAAATCTCTGGCATTGAAAACTGAACTGGCTTATTATATCTATTAAATTATAGTAATAGGGATATTAACTGCACCTTGTCGGGCCAAATCTTACATCTGTAAAGTAACAAGAGGACATGGAGGATAATGGAGATCTTAGGAAAAAGAAAAATTCAGATGCCCCAGACACAGACATGGTGCTGCACTATTATCATGAACCATTGAAGAATAAGGACCCATAGGGGTATATATATCAAAATTAGATTTACATGATTCATAATAGCCAAAAGGTAGAAACAACCCAAATGTCTCCATAAACTGACAAACGGAAAGAGAAAATATATTATAGCCATATAACGAAATATTACTTGGCTATAAAAAGGGATGGAGTACTGATACATACTATAGCATGATGTATCTCCACATGGGTCCCTATTTTAGTTAGAGAGAGAAGGAGGAGGGAGAAAGAGATCATTTGCCAGATACAGTGGTATCATATGTAATATCTCAATTGATTCTTACAACCTTAAGAGATGACCATTTTATATTTACAGAGGAGTCTCAAACACAGTACAGAGCTCTTGTGTACCTTTCACCCAATGTGAACATTTTGCATCACCACATGGGCCTAACTTTTACCACTGTTTTGAGATATAATTCACGTACTTAAGGAATACACTTCAGTGTTTTTTATTCACAGATATGGGACAACCATCAAAATGAAACATCACACCCTTAAGTTATCACCTTTTTCACTCCCAGCTCATGCCACAGCCCTAAACAACCACTAATCTATGTTCTGTCTCTGTAAATTTCTCTGTCCTAGACATTTCATGCGAATAGGATCATATAATATGTGGTCTTTCATGACTGGCTTCTTCTGGCACTTACCATAATACCATCAAGGCCCTTTCATGCTATAGCACATATCAGTACTTCATTCCTTTTTATGGCCAAGTAATATTTCATTATATGGCTATAAATTTTCTCTTTCCATTTGTCAGTTTATGGAGACATTTGTGTTGTTTCTACCTTTTGGTTATTATGAATCGTGTGAATCTAATTTTGATGAAGTTAAAATGTCCACTGTACTGCAAATAACGTTGACTGGAAACATGATTTTAGATCTACAAGGGTTTCGATATGTCCTAATACCTTACTTTTGAAGTAAACTGGCTTGTTCATTCAGTCACTAAGACCTTCCCCAAAGGGTAAGTTCTTAAGCAGCTGGCGGAGTACAGTCTGAACCTGTCTGTCCTATGAACTTGATATCTTCAAAACAGATAAATGTAAAGGTAATTTTCAGTGTCTTCTTTTAAACTCATCAATCAGGTAATTCGACCCTCTCTTTTAGAGATCAAGAGTGAATGGGCCAGAGAGATGCTTTAGTTTGGGTTATCTCTGATGAAAACCTTTTGGATAAGGGTGTGAATTCAAGTAATTTATTTGGAATGTTCCGGTAGAGGTTTAGGGCAGTGAGACAGGAATGGGAAAGAAGCCAGTAAAGGGTTTACTTTTGGGTAAGTTAGTAGCACTTTTTGTGGGTAATGAGTACTTAACCATACAAAGGACTTATGGGACACAGTGTACAACATGCCTTAGAGACATCCCAAAAGTGGAGTTGAGTGTGGGATAGCCATCAATTTTCATCAGTTATTGGGAATGGAGCCGTAAGTCCCCTGGCACTCCTCAAAAGGCCAGTGTAGAGAAGCATGTGCTTGCAGCTAGAAGCTATGGGATTGAGGATGGAGACACAAAGGGATATGGTGGAGCAGCAACAGCTACAAGAGACTAAGGTGTTATGAAGTATCCTCATGGGAAGGCAAGAGGAGCAGGAGTAGAGCTTCTATCCGGATAATGAAACTTTCAAAGAAGTCATTGATGAATACTGAGGCAACATCACAGACCTCTACTTACTTGTCTATAAAATAAGAGCTAATTCTTTGTTCACTAAACCCTTGATATTTAAAGCTGCAATTATATATGAAGCAAAATATATATAATTTTGCTTAAAATTATGTATCTTAATACCTCAGTCTACCTTAATACCTCATGAAAGATTTCTGCCCTATAAAGCAGCATATTAGTATATTATTGGGGGTTGGTAGAAAAAAACACGTTTTGGAGACAGAACGTCCTGGGTTTAAGCCCTGGTCTCAATATCTAGAACCTGTGTGCCCTTGAGCAAACTGTTTCATCTATGAGAACAAGTCCTCTCAATCCACAGTTGCCCTTCATCTCCACCCCAATGTCTGGTAAAAAATGAAATAAACTTTTGACATTTTAGTATAATGGCTGTTTTACAGCATGAGTTCAATAAATTAGAGTTTTTCATATTTCTACTGAGAATAAGGAAGAGATGCAACAAAGAAATATGTTAACTCATTCAGCAAATATTGACATCCTACCCTATGTAGAATTCTATTCTAGTTGCTGGAACAGAGTGGCAAAGGATGCAAATCTCTGCATTCACGAAGTCTACATTCTGGTAAATCACAAACACTGGGATCCTGTTTTCACATTTAAGGTCCTATTCTTATTGTCTGGAAAAATAGGTTCAGTTTATGTTGCTTGTTGGGCTTTTAACTTTGAAAAATGTAAGTTTATATTAAAGCATCCCAAAGTACTCGTCTTCAACTTTTAATTAAACATTTTCTGAGAGTCATTTCTCAAATCTTTATTTGATGTTGTATTAGTTAGACGTTTTTGGGTCCCAAATGATGGAAAGAAAATTTGAATGACTCTAAGTAAAAACGCAAACTTATTGAAATGAGTGGATACATAGAAAGCTATGGGAAAAGCAGAGACATGGCTGGATCTTTAAATAGCTGTATCCAGGGGCATAGAAACTACAAGGAATTGCTCTGCCTCTAACATCTGTACCTGTGTGGCAGCTTTATCACTCGTATTGCAGTGTGGCTTTCTCCACATGGCAGACAATATACCTGCTCTTTGTACCTATGATTTATGTCTTGCAGCTTTAGCTACCAGAGAGATTAACCCAAACCTCTCAGTTTTCTTACACAAAATTTCCAGAGACAAGACAGTTCCATCTTGGGGCAAGTGTTCTCTATTATATCATGCAACTCTGTACTTACATCACTGTAATTATGTGGCTGGGGCACTCCTAGAATTGTGTAGGTACCCATATCGTCTGTAAGACATAGAACCTTAAGAAGGCTGACTCTCATGTCATGGTCACCTTTCTGGCAAGAAGCATGTAATAACAGCAGCTCTGAAAGTTGGAAAAATAATAGAGATAGAAGAGACCACATCGTATTCCGTCCATGCAGGTGTCCATTAGTAGAAGTGAGCCAACAATACATTACTTTCTGCAAATTTGTCCAGTACATTCAAAATAAACACGTTAAAAAGGGATTATTCACCATTTATGTGTCAGGGAAGTAATAATAATGTATGTACTACACATATTAATGTTCTAAAGTACTGTGGAAATTCCAAACATTTTCCAGTTTCAGGGAATGAAGTAGCTCCCCAGTGAAGTAGCTCATGAGCAATATTGCCATTTTGGAAAATGAATGATGGAGTTAGAATGCCAAGGGATGTTGAATTACTCATCTTTTCAATAAGGGTATATCAAGCACATATTTCATGCATGTCTCAGAGCTGAGAGTTGCCGGGACATAAACTGATAAAGTCCCTGCTCTCAAGCGACTTAGAGTCTAGTAAGAAGGGGAGACTTCTCAACATTGAGCCATAATACAAGTCAAAACAAGGCCCAGGTAAGATGGATAAATATGAGAGACTAGGGGAAGTGATGAGAGAGAACTAGAAAGAGACTTACATTGCAGAGGCCTTTAAAAACACCATGAGAAATTTATTTTTCCCTATATGAAGTCATCATTACCTTTTTAATATAGAAAATATTATGAATTCATTTAATTGACTACAACTCCATTTGTTGATGCGCTTATCTCAATAAGTGAAAGAAAAATTGATCCATTTGCCTAAATAGTTCAAATGATTAGTTAGTTCACTGGTTCAATTTGCCTGGTATGATCTGGGCTACCATTTACGATATCGTTTGAAGACTGGATGAATTTGTATGTTTGGTAAGGCTAAACTGTTCAGGTTTTCATTATTTGGAAAGGGTCTGATCACTGTTGGAGCTCTCCTGGTGAACCCAACCACTATGCGGTGAGGAAGTCTTTGAGAATCTGTGGCGTAATGCACATGGAAAGCCCCGCATGGAGAGAAACTAAGGTCCCTGGTTTTCAGTGCCTGTCGAGTGCTCAACCCAGAGCCAACAACCAACACAGCCTGTCAGGTATATGGCAAACCATGTGAGAAGTGGATCAGAGGTACGCTTTCCTCAGTGAGCCTTGTCCAAATTCTAAATTCAGGCTAAATAAATGATGGCTGTTATTTTAAGCCAAGAAGTATTTTAGGGTGGTCTGTTATTAATAGTTAAGTGGAACACATTGTACAAAGGATTCATGGTAATCATATCTTCATGTTTTGATCCCATTCATCCATTAGACAGCAGAGTTTCAGGCACCCCAACAATTCAGATTTCAGAAACTCAATTCCTGGGCTCAGAGGAATGCATTTCCATTTCTGTAAAGAGTTTCAAAGAGAGAATACAATTTAAAATTCAAGAAATTTCCTTTACATGAAAAATTTTCTGGAACATATTGATTTTAAGATGGCATGCCCCCATTTCTAAAGAGAGTTAAACTGAAAACACCAATAAATCATATTCCCCTCTGTATTTCTATAACATTTGTAATATACACAGACAACTTGTGCAAACCATCTATCACTGACCCAGAGGGGCCACTGAAGTAGATGTGAAGGTCATGGACTTACAGCAATCAACTTCCTTCTCTAGTTCACCAATCAAAAGTTACAAATACAGCTTCTGATCCTTCCTTTGTCTCTCTCCCTCTCTTTGTATTGGCTGTCAAGACAAGGCAAGGGTAGCAGCCAATCAGATCTTTATATTAAACAGCTTCTGGTTGCTACAAAACAAATCTAAGTTTGTATTAGAGGCGACAAACTCCATGGCCTGTCGTGTATCCTTTTTATAGCATGGGTGACACCAACAGTCAACAAGTAATGCTGATGACTTGTTGATAAATTAACAAAAACAGAAAGCATCCAAATCTAGAGGTTTCCTGTGTCCATAGTTAGTCATATTTTAATTAAAAGTCAATTAAAAACCAATTCTGCTGCTTTTTAACTACATAATTTTAATTTATGATTGCTATAGGATTTTTAAAAGACACCCTAATCCCAGTGCCATTAGAGATAGCCACTGTTAATACTGAAATATATCTTAATGTAGAAATGAGTCTACATATGTATATATTTTTACCAGAATATATATATATATATATATATATATATATATATATATATATTTTTTTTTTTTGAGACGGAGTTTCACTCTT